TATGAATTACAGCAGTGTCAGCCTGGGCCTTTTTATGAGCTTCATACCTGCAGATATTATTGAACTAAAGGTCACTACATTTCCTGGAACCGCAATCCATACCTCTTTGCTTTTTTCCCTCAAGCTACTGCTATGTAGAGCATAAATCTGAAGTAGAAACTACCTCTGTAGTCCACAGCTCGTCTGGGAAGGCCTTTTGTTTGTTGGAAGACATCAGTGGAATAATATTACGTTTAATTAAAACCAGACAAGTTAAGCTCATTGCATAATCTGCTAGAGCCAGAGTTCTTGTTTTGTGGTGAAAAGCATTTTGTTTTGCTTCCGAGTATTCATACTTTGCAAGAAGCTTAGCTGCCAAATTCATACAAACTGCAGCGTATGTCAGACCCACAAAGAAAACACAACAACACAATGGCAGAGGAGGGATTTTTCTGATTGATAAGGAGGAGAGCACAATCTTTATATCCAGATGTATCATAGAAATGTTCATGTTTCCTGACAGCCGATCCTTAAACTTTCCATCCAGTTGTAGGTACCAGATCTGCTCTGAGCCCTCCCCCTTCTTATCATGTCATCATACTACAACACCATTCGGCCAAACTTTATTGCACCCGTTTTAAAAGAATCGGATCCCTTCTGGAGTTTCAATATATTATTACCTATATTTGCTATTATTTTAAATTTCATTGGCGATCTAAATTGGCCAAAGGTAGAAAACAATAATTCCCAGTGTTTAAGGAAAGTACTGCCTTCTAAGTAGGATTCTGCCATTTAACAAGGTGACACAAAGCACCACAGTGCTTTTTTTATTTTTTAGAATCAGTGAAGGACAATTAGAACATTTTAAAAAATGACTTTCGTATGGATTTTAGACAAAGAAAATAAAAATATTTCTACTTGTAGAAAAGAAACACTTAGTCTGGTTCTGCTGGGGGTTTCTTCCTGTTAAAAGGGAGCTTTTCCTCTCCACTGTCGCTACAAGCATGTTTGGTGTGAGGGATTGCCTTCTTTAGTCAATGAGTTGATGCAATCAACCGGTTTTCCTTAGAAAACTTTGAATCAATTTGACTGGATGATCGGTTGAACTGTAAGGTGCCTTGAGATGACGTGTTGTGAATTGGTGCTATAGAAATAAACTGAATTGAATTGAAAGGGTTGTTATTGAAACTATTTTAAAACTAGCTTAATATGGCTAACTGACTGAGCTAAAAGAGGCTAACCTGTTAGCTGCTTAGCACAGCTAGCCAGAGAGCTAAACAGCTCTCCCTCTTATATCATGGTCTTGCAGTTAACTTTGCTCACCATAAACATTTTTTTCAAGCTTTATCAATCAGGTAAAACTTGATCAGTCATTAGACAGGCTAGCATTACAGATGCTCCTGACTCTCCACACGGACGGATGCTGCATTATTATCGTTGTCTGGGCAACCGAAAATGTTCTCTGTCTTGTGGCAATGTTCAGCCAATCATATAGCGCCCACGTCACTGGCATGCGCAGGGTCCGAGCTGATCTGGTACCTACACCTTAACGGATCACTGTATGGATTTCCAGACCTAGAATAAAAGGCCGGGGGCTAAACGATGTCATTTTGTTCTTGCAGCTGTGAGAGTAAGAATAAAAATCTTCTGGCTGAGTATGTAACAGGCTTTAGGGATACAAGTTATATTGTATAAATCAAACACTGAGTCAACATGAACAGATTATCAGGTGAGGGATTAATGAAGTTACACTTTATTACCAAAAGTAATGAAGGACATCATGGTAAAAGGCATGTTTAAATCACTATAATTTATAAGGACCACAAAGTTTTTCACATTCCATTCATTTACCCCGAAATCCCACATCCTCCATCACCGCTCTGCCCCCTCCAGTCTACAGCCTCCGCCGTTCCTCCCGCCTTGCCCCGTGCCGAGTTCCTCGGCGTTTGAGGAGAGCATGCGCGATATTATTGCTAAAATTCATAGGAGCAAAACATGGGGAAATGAACGCTTAATTTAATTTGACTAATATTAAAAAAATCTACATCAGCATGAAGCTGAATGTAATTTCCTATTGGGAAACTACTAGCACTAAGATGCTTCCGACAAACCAGCTACAACCAAATATGCTTGTGAACCTTCTGCCACAACAATCCCGCCCCCTTGATAAACTACCAATCACATCCACTTTATTCACTCGTGTCAAGTCGGGCACCACTCGGGAGAATTCTGAAATGCAACGGTTGGAACAGCCGCTTCCCTACAACTATAAAGAAATTTAAAAAAAAAAAGGAGCTAGAGGCCTATAAAAAGTCAAGAAATATAGCGATCAAGTCGCTAAGTTGACAACAGTGTACAGGACAAACCCCTACCTCCTGAGCCGCTGTCTTAAAAATCAGTAAGGTCAGATAATCCATTTACTTTCTTGGCTTCATGTGTTTTTAGCTTTGCTGTGGAGAAACTTGACTGGCCTGCAGAGTCCTAAAGTCAGCAGGGTAGATAAAACACCTTTAGGGTGAACTAGAGCAGATGCAGCAATTTCTAACAAGGACATACCCCTAAACTTTATTTCTAGAGTCCTTATGTAATGGTTAAAGTTGCTTCTGTGGGCACAGTAGTTCATTAGCAAATTGGGCAAATTGTTCTTGTACATGTAAACATAGACCAATGCTTTTGGTAATATAAGTACTTTCTGTGTTTGATTGTCCCCTAAGTCTAGAAAATTTGGTAAGAAACTGACGTTCAAAGATGTTCCAGACATCCTGATTTTCTTTGCAAAGAAAGATATAAAAACTTAACGTCTCTAGAGGCATCAAGCTGGGTAACCATGGGAACGGGTTGCAAACTGAATCTCCTGAGTTCCCCTGCATTACAGTCAGACCTTGACCACAAAGACAAAGATCTCTGGTTTGTGGTTTATAATGCAATAAATTGTAAGACCTTTATAAAGTGTGTGAATGCATCTTTGGAGCACAGTATTTGCTTTTCAGTTTATTAGCAGCTAACCAGCATGTGGCGTTTTTCTCCAGGTCCTCATGCCGACACGGCCAGCGGTTGCCAGAACCTGCAGTGCGGTTTCCGAGCCTGCTGTCGCTCTGGAGAGTGACTCAGCCCCTCCGACGTTCTCCTCTCCCTATCGTTGCACTTTATCCTGGCAAAACCATTTACTGTGTTTTGTCATTTGTTTCTTTATGAATATGTAATTAGCTCCTGCTATTTCCTTACTACTACTACATTGGAGATAATAGTTTAGAAAGAAGAAAACTGGGTGCAAAAGTACATTTAGATTCTTTTGGTTTGAGGAAAAACAGGGGGATAAGGTTCTAAAAGATTTCAGTTTTGTCTCAAGCTATGGAAATTTGTATGTAAATTCAGCTGCTTTTGTAGATAAAAGCAGACAGTTCCTCAATGTTGGTGTATTCAACTATCCTAAATGTGCAGATCTCTGTTTATGCAGGAGCATGCGGGTTATTCACAGAATCGGCACCTTGTGAATCAACTTCTAAAATATGAAGAGAAAGTTCTGGTTTGGGATCCAGGCAGCAAAGACATAGGAAATAGCAGATGATGTTGCATTAGTGGTTGGGCTCTTCAGTGTTCTGGACATTCAGCTGTCCTGTAAAGGCTATTTTTTTCTTTCTTTATGCACTCCAGTGGGTAAAAAGAACAAATGTTAATATGAAAGGAATCCTCAGCACCATGTCGGAGGGTCTGCGGTCTTTACAGCTTTATGATCCTGCAGCAAGATTTATCTTCTGGTTCTACAATCTTGCATGAGATCTGTTGAAATTGTTGACTAATAATAAAACTTTGGAGTTGGTCACTGCACTCTGTCTACTGTGTTCCGAAAACATTTTCAATTGTTTCCCACTGTGGGCTGTCCTCAGTGGTCATTAAGGAGTCATTTGGTTTCAGTTGTTTAGAAACTAGCATAGAGCTAAGTACAGGATAATCTCTGAACAGAGGCTGCAAAGACTTAAGAACGTACCAAAGACTGGTGTTCTTACAGGAAGATGATGGGATGGGCTGGATTAAAACATCTTTATTTGGGTGTTGGAATGGCTCAGGTTAAATATAAATCCAAGAAAGAACCATTGACAAAAGTTAAACAGATTCTTGAAGCGTTTGGATTCATTACTGAACTGTACTGATGCTGCTTTAATACTGTCTCTCAGAATACTGACACCTGCTGGATCTTTAAAGACATTACAGGCAGCTTATTTGACAGAGTAAACTGAATTGATTTGATGACCTAGTAGAATCATATAATTTAAGTTATTAGGCTAAATTGTATTATTTCATATCCATGCTTAAAATAAAAATATCTTTGATATTTTTATATGCAGTCAATAAATGTAAACTTATATCATGACGTCAAAATTTAGGCGATGCTTGTGGACCAAGATTTTAAATCATAATTTAAAACAATAAGTACAGTAAAACGGTAAATAAACTAAGAGTAAATTTCAAATGACCTTCAATTCACATAATTTGGGTGATAACTGTAAGGAAAAAAATGACACAACGAAATTCAATTAAAAAACGCCACGGCTGAAACTTCCCTATTTAGGGCTGCTCCAAAATTCTTGATAATTTTAATGATAAACCGCAAAAGATTAGATACTTTTTTTTAGCACATGCATCATGTTGACAGATAAGTTTTGGAACAGTTTAGTGAATCAGTCAGAAACAACTCCTGTATCGGTCACATGACTTTCTTGAACCGACAAGCACACCGATACAATTGAACCCATCGCTACTCAACTGTTTAGCAAAGCAGAAGCAAAAAGCCTCCAAATACATAAAGCTGGTAGCTATACTACAATAAACCTAAAGCTTTAACCTCAGTAATATCTGGTTCCACACACAACCGACCAAAGGGGAAAAATATAAATGTATACTATAGTTTTGAAACATGCATTTGGAAACCATAAACCACACTTCTTTAATTTCAAAATTATTTTTACTCTGTCTTATTCCATTATATATAAACTAAGTACATTAAGGTTTTGGTTTACAAGTTCAGGGCAAATTAATACTGTAAGGCACTTAGAACTGATGCTGGAGTGATGACAGGTAGAAAATATTTATCAAAACATTAACATATATACACATTAGTACTTTATAAACAAGATAAAAAGTTATAATAAAAAGCAACAGCTAGTGAAATGTTGAACAGGTTCGGTCTTTGATCACGTGCGGATGAGTGAGGCCAGATAAACCCACACTGACATCACGTTGTTAGGATAAGGATGCACGTACACCGCCATCGCAAACTCCACATTGGATGAGTGAATATTGTGAACCCCGGTGCTGTGAACTGCCTCTACAATCGGTTGGATCTCAGAAAATGGCAGATGGAGCGGGAATCCGGAAATCTGTGAAGACGAGGATACACCAGGTCATTCTGAAAGAACTTCATCCAAACAAAAGTCACACTTTATGCTGGTTTCTGCACATCACTGTGACCAAATGCAAGGCCAGAAATGTTAATCGTTACATATAATCTTTGTTTTGGACGAGTTGCCGGGTTTCTTATTTACCCTGTAGTCTCCGAGGAGGCTCTGCAGCTCAAGGCGGTGGCCCTCAGCCACATCCTGACCGCGGCTCTGCTCCAGTTTGGGCAGAAACTGCTTCAGGGTTGAGTTACAGTACCGGTTCCAGCGAGTTGGGTGAAGTGGGCGCCACTCCATAATCTTCTCCTTCAGTATCTTCTCCACTCTATCCAGAATTAGATGCAAATTGAGGCTTTTTTTCCCCGCTTTATTAATAAAATAAAATAATAGCTGCTATCGTTCCTGTCGCTCACCTGTCCTGAAGCTCAGCTGCAGCTGCTACGTCCGTCTGGCGGTACACCAACTCCTCTGGCTACAGGAGGGAAATAATTAGTGGAAATTGATAATTGACATGTTTAAATGTAAGTTATATATTTACCTGTACACTAGACAGCCCGGGGTGGGAGAAGGAGCGGGAGAAAAATGGTTTCCACATATTGGCCTTAGTGATGTCAAAGTTTGTGTTTAAAGGTGAGGGATTTTCCTGAATGTTCAACCAAACCTAAACAATAAAAAAATTTATTTTTCTATCATTATAGAGGAAGCTGACACTGATATTAATGAGGAAAGTTTCTGGTTATCTAGCGGTTTTTTTTCCACTCACATTGTCAGAATTAACCAAGCAGCCCACAGTCTGCAGGGGGCAGAAGGCGTCGTCCTTTTCATAGAACTGTCCGCTGCTGGGGTTCCAGATGAAGTAGCCGCTCGGCTCATGGGTTAGCACATAAGCTGTGGGTCCCTGTTGGAAAATCCACATTAAACAGTTAGGCCTGTGCTTTCTGAATTTGCTGTGCCTTCCAAAGGAGGTCATACCGCATTAATATCTTTCCTTTTTTTACTTCCTTTAAGCCACAAACCTCAGTGTGTTTGATTGTGATTTTTGATACAAACCAATTTGAAAGGAGTGGTGAAATGGAAAGAAAAGGAAAAAAGGATGTGGGTTAATCCTTTGTAGAAACACATTTCCCTGCAATTACAGCTGCAGCTTATAGAAATAATTCAGTTTTGATCTAATCCTGACAAGGCACCTTTTTCCACGTAGGCAGACAGAACTGCTTATAGCTTTCCCTCAGCAGTGAGGGACTTCATGTCACTCAGAGAATAAGGCTGGAATGAACAATTTCACAATTAATGCACAATTAAACAGCTGACAGGTTCTTCCATCTGAGCTATGGACCGCTGCATCTCCTCCAGAGTTCATATTAGCCTCTAAGCTCATTCCTTACTAGGTCTTTAGTCTTTTTTTCCATTTTCAGATAATGGCTTGAACAGAGTTTCTTTAAGATGTTGAAAGCTCAATTAATAATTTTATAACATTAGTCTGCTTTAAACTTTCCCCACATCACTGATGATGATGATGATGATGCTGCTGCCTGTTCTCTGATGTTCTTTATCAAACCATGGGGGGTTCAAAGAACAGCTGGATCTATGCCGAGAATAAATAAACTGTTTACACTGGATTGTATCCCAGGATATTAGAGCTAAAAGAGGCAGAAACAAATGGAGGCTGTACTTTTCTGATTTGTATTAGTAGAATGTTTAAAAGTCGATTATCCTGTCATTCCTCTTTCTAATGTTTCACTAACTTGTGTTGGTCTGTCATATAAATTCCTGAAGAAATACATTGAAGCTTGTGGCAACGTGATAAAAGTTCAAAAGCCTGAAGTGTTGGGTAAGTTTGTAATGGCGATAGGTTCAGGTTTAACACGCCCAGGTCAGTTACCTCTGGTATGGCTGTGCCAATTATAAGCCAGGCCTTCTTTCCCAAAAAGAGAAAGTAGTTGCACAACAGTACAGCATGTTCCTCCTCATCTCCTGCCAGTAGAGTCAGGAATTGCTGAAACAAAATGAAAACATGTAAGATTGGTAATTCCCCGTCCTGGAACTATTCCCAAATCTTAACTCACGTCGCATGTGCTCCATAAGTCAAAGGCTCCAGAGAAGGAAACCTGGTCCGGCAAAGATGGGATCAGGGAGACAAATCGGGCCACCAGGGTCTGCAAGACGAACGAAAACGATAAACTAAAAGTCGACATCAATTTGTGCTCAGTCAGATTACACTGACCGTTGCCTCCTGAGGGTTGTTAGGAAAGGCATCGAGGAACTGCTGTGGGGGGTTGAGTGGTCGGATGTAACGCGTGATGAAGACCGTCTTCCCACTGAGGTCTATGACTGTGGTGACGCAGCGTCGGTCCGGGAAGCCTTGAGCTGCGTCCTTCTCAAACTTCCCTGAAGCCTGCAGTAAACGCTCATCCTCCTGACTGTCCAACTGCATCAAAGCACCAAACGTTACTTCAGTTAACCACAGCTCAGGGACGTGTTCTAATATAAATTTTTATCTAAAGCACAGGTTGGTGTGAAAGATTCAGAATAGGGTGAAAAACAACGGAAGGTTACCTCTACTTCCTTTATCTAGTGCATGAGGCAGAAAAAAAGCAGGTAAAAAAAAAAACAGACAATACAAGGAACAAATTATTAAAGAAATACCATCTACTGCTAAACAAATAAACAGACTAAAACAAAAGGTAAAAAAAAAGTGAACCTGCTAAGGAATCTCTGAAAGAACAGGAAGGAAGAAAAACAACATTTGAAGGTAGAGCAATTGATAAAATATTCGCTCCCCTTAACCTTTTCAAACTGTTACATTAGAATCACACATTTAACTGTATTCCACTCTAACCGACATATGAAGTGGAAGGAAAGGCCACCTTTACTCCGATATCTCCTGAATAAAGTACAGCTGACTGCGTCCTGAAGTGTCAAAGGTAAACAGACTTAACTTTGTGCCATTTCATCTAATGCAAGTTGGATACCCCACCCCCCTTACAGCTGTGTACAGAGAACCCTGAGGCCAGAGGATACTCTGGCCCAGGCTCGGACTGGTAATATGTGATGATGGGCCCGTCCTAATGTCAGCATGCGAGGGCCGGCTGTCCTTAAATCATACCGACCCCAACATTTACTCTCCGGCCGAAGCACCTCCCTGTGACAGGAAATAACTCAAGGAGCTGAAGAATTGATGCATGCAGTTTCTATAGGCCTTCCTTGTCATGCACATCCTTGAGACGGTTGGTATATGGTGTAATTTTCTATTTCTTCAAACTGTAATATCCTTGCAACAAACTAAATTACAACTAAAATGCTTTCTTTAAACCAAACTACGATGTTCCTCTTATATTTGCCGAATTTATGTTAGAATATTTTGCATATGTAAAATATGTTACGGTGCATGATGGGGTTTTGCATCTAAAGGCTAACATTTCCCGTCTTACATGTATTGTTGCCAGGTTGGGATGTTTCCCAATCTGGTAGATTAGGATGGCTGTCTATGTGTAAAAAATGTTTTTCTTTAGATTTTTAAGCCTAAGATATCAATAGACTTTGGTTCAAATTGGGTGAGATTACGTATATCAGGCGGTTTATGAAAATTTTTTGGGCTGGAAAATGTGAGTCAGTGAAGGCGCTGTTTGTGTGAGTGGGTGTCTGACTGGCTTCGCGCAGGTGTTGACGTTACGCAGCAGCAATTACTGTCACGTCTGTATTAATAATGTGGGGGGCGGGTCCATAAATGGGCCGGTGTAGATGGAAAAATGCCAGGGCCGAAAATCATTCCCAGTCCGAGCCTGCTCTGGCTTCAGGGGTCTTTTAGTAAAAACAGCATCAAGAGGATGAAAGAACAGGGCTGGAAAGGTTTAACCTTAATCCCAAATTTTAAACAGCTCACACATGACTGTTCAATCCTGGGAAAAGTGAACTTTTATGCTCATAATCCCAACTACTGCTGCCCATCGCTTTGAACACGATACCATTGAAACATGGTAGTAGGATTATGCTGGTTTTAGAGACGATCTGAACACAGTTGGAGATGAAAAAGAAAGAGAAAAACTGCTAGAGGCTGAAAATGGTCAGTTAGTGGGGGGGGCAGGAAAACAACTATAAACATGCAGTCAGCGCTGGTTAAGAACAGTCATAGAATCACTCGGTCAGACCTTAAAACAATAAAAAAATAGATTTAGGTAATACTCTATATCCTGTTTAGCAGAGTTTTGTAAATAATGTTTAGATGTGTAAAGCTGGAAAACATCTACCTCAAAAGCCAGAATAAGAAAAATAGATAATTCTGAAAATTATTAACTCACACATGGATCATTTTCCTTCTGCTTCACAACTGGTCGCCACTCTGTGTCGGTCTGTATCGTAAAATCTACACTTTAACCCTTTATAGATCTCCACCCTCAGCGGCTGATGGGAAGGTAACAAACCTTCCTTCTTCCATAAGAAAAAATACCTAATAAACTACATTGAACCATTTGATTTTTAACGTGAAAACTTAAAAAGCTCAAGTGGCACGAATACATTGGTTAGTAAAATTAAACCAAATCAGTAGGAACATTGATGGAAGCCTGAAATAAAAATAAAATCAGACAGGATCTCCATTCCTGAGGACTTGGTTACCTTCACCCTAATAGACTCTCCAGGCACCAGCTGAGGTTCGATGGTGATGAAGAGTCGGATGAACGTCCCTCCACACGTGCTCCGCCAGTGATCATAAACGCTGTTACTGCTGTGCTCCCTGCTGTATCCTAGCAACACGGCCGGCGTGTTCACCTTGAAAGCTCCATCAATCTGTCAGATTGAGAAGGAATTGCCTGTAATCTCCCATTCTAGAAAATGCCCTCTAACAAAATCCACGTGGTAGAATCTCACCTTTGACTGGGAGTAAATGGTGCTGAAGGGGATCTTGACTGAGCCCAGCCAGTGCTTCTCTACCTGCGTGTGAATGGACGTCATCCTCTGTCTGTCACTCTGGGCAGAAAGGTTACAGTTACTGTGGCTGCACCTTCATTTAGATCAACCGTACGTAGAACAGTGCTTACCGGTCCACTCTCAAACAGCACTTCATCAAATATGTTGATGAAGACTTCATCTTTGACAGATTGCAAGCCGGCAGTGCTGTAGTCACCGTTAGGCGCGCTGCGGAAAGACGGAAAAGAAATAAGTTAATTTTATTAACTCAATAAAGCAACAGGTAAACCTTCTGATAAATACACTAAAAATTGTGCTTTTAATATGATAACTAGAGAAGCATTCAGAGCGCAGACCTCTACCAAGCAGCATATTTTACTGCATAACCCAAACGTTAGATTATGACTTTTGGAGTCCAATGCTGAACCTGTCAATAGCCACTAGTCCCACCCTCTGGTTTAGGGGGGAAACTGCTTGTTTCTATAAATCTTCATCTTACAATGTTAAAGAATCCTTTAAAAAGAAACCTCTATCTGGATTATGATTTGGATCATCACTAACATTATAGAGGTTGCTCCTTGGTATGAGGCGCACCTCTGGTAAAAATGTCATTAAAATCTGTCCATAACTTTCTAAGTTATCCTTTACACCAGGGGTTTCAAAGTAATTCCAGTAAAGGGCCGTGTGGCTGCAGGTTTTCTTTCCAAACAAGCAATAGCACACCAGACTCCAGTCATCTCATCAAGGGAGTCCAATCTTGGAAAGAAAACCTGCACCGACGCGGTCCTTTCTGGAACCAGTTTGACTCCTGTGCTTTACACAGAAAGACAAACAGACAAACACACACACTTCTAAAAACCTAAAAGTAGGAAAATGTTAAAAGGGTAAGAACACATTTGAGAGATTTTTACCAGTGATGGAGATACACAAATTAATTATTTGCATTGTAAGAATGTAAAAAATGGATATCCAAATGCTGCTTTGACAGCATAGTGACGATAACAGACTGTTGGGGGTTATTGCTAGCCAATCTACATACAGACAGGAAGGGAGACAGGAGGACAACGTCACTATCAACAAAACGAGGGTGAGGACTTCTGCAAAACAGCCCCAATTTGCCCAAGGCTTTATAAATAGGGAAACAAGGTTTAGAGATTCTGTTCTGAGAACCAGTAAGAGTAGTTTTTAGACCTGTGGGTCGGTGGTACACTGAAAAGAGCGCCATGCCTGTAGTGTGGCATGGCAGGGGCTCTGTGGTGCTCTGGGGCTGCGTTACATACTATGAAGCAAATCCAATGAGAAAAGCGGGATGCTGTTTGTAAAATGGCCTTAGTTTGGGCGCCAACTGGCAAAGGAAACAGGCAGTTGCAGCAAACTAGATGCCTTTTGTCTGTGAGGTGTGAACTCAAATTCCTCTGGAACGCTGCCAGCAGCTGGTGTCTGGCTGTGAAGCATGCTTGCAGCAAGTCACAACAGCAACGGGGGCTCTACTATCTACTTGTTTGGAAGTTCCAACTGTTATTAAAAGGGACACCACTTTGTTGGGCTGTTTCATTTTCTGGTAAATCTACAGTATGTACAGTAAACAGCCTCTAATAAGCATATATTTCCAATACAGTGAACCCTTGTTTATCACGGGGGTTACGTTCCAAAAAGAACCCGCGATAGGTGAAATCCGTGAAGTAGAAACCTTAATTTTTTTACAGTTATAATACAATGAAATACTCCATACAACATTGAAATCAAGGAACAAAA